GGTTTAGGGTTAGAGTTTAGAGTTTAGGGTTTAGGGTTTAGGGGTTAGGGTTTCGGGTCTAGGGTTTAGGGCTTAGGGTTTAGGGTTGTCTAAGGCACGCGGATTTGGGGTTTAGGGTTTAGGGGCTATATGGGTAAGTAGCTAACAGGCCGACTGCAGGGGCTACCATGAAGATTGCTGTATTAACTACTATACAAGGCTAACCCTAAACCCTAAACCCTAAATTTCACAGGTTGGTCCCAAGAGACATAGAACCCTACTAGGAGAGGTGGGGGGAGACTTTGGGTCGAAAGGTGACGCTTTAGGTTGCTGTTGAGGGCTACTCTAAGGGTTTCCATGAAGCTCTACTCGGAGGTTCATGGGTAGTTATAAGTGGGGTTATAAGTCCCCTAATATGGGTCATAATTATAGTTACCCTACTTATAACCCTACTTATAACTACTCTACAGTAAACCCCTTAAAGTTGGAAACCGGGTTAAGGCCAAATAGTGCTGGGATCCCCTATATATCACTCTTAAGGATTGAGGCTATGGGGTTTTCAACTTTTTGGCTTCTACTGTAAGGGTTTCCATGAAGCTCTAGGGTTTAGGTCCTCGGTTTGAGAAGTTCGGGAGCTGCCTTAGGGGTTTAGGGTTTAGGGTTTAGGGCTTAGGGTTTAGGGTTTAGGGTTTAGGGTTTAGGGCTTAGGGTTTAGGGTTTAGGGTTTAGGGTTGAGGGTTTAGGGTTTACACGCGGCTTTCGAAAGGATCTGCGAGCTTCCTGGCTCTCCACGAAACCAACCAGCCTTTAGACACAACGGAAACGGAAGCAAGTCGGGTTTAGGGTTTAGGGTTTAGGGTTTAGGGTTTGGGGTTTGGGGTTTAGGGTTTAGGGTTGAGGAACTAAAACTCTCTATAAGGCGATACCCCGGCAACGGGCAGAGGTTCAAAAGTTGTGCTTCGGTGCCTTTTTCTAGCTCTCCCTCATGGACCCTCAAACCTGAACCCCATAACATAGAAGCCTATGAATTTAATAGGGTTTTGGGGTATATTATACCGATTTAATATAGGGATTTGGGGTATATTATACCGATTTAATAGGGTTCTGGGGTATATTATACCGATGTATACCATAACTATAATAAGGACCCCCCCAAAAAA